GTGGGGGAATGATTTTTTTCACGTCAAATCTTTACCGAACCTAAACTGCTTGCTAACTGAAATGCTGTGATGACGGAGATCATCTGCGATTGCAGCGACACCAAGTACTGATAACATAAAATTATATGTATAATTTTAATGTCTGCATGCAATATATTCTGAGTTATCCACTTTATTCTGGCCCACGAATTAATAGGATACAATTTTAAACATGTTTTTGAACGCCGCGAATTAAAAGGATACATTTAAAAATTAGCGTTCGAAAATAAAATGGGTGCGCGAACTAATAGAGACCGCGAATTAATCAAGTTTTTACGGTGAAAGTAGGTCCTATACAGTTATTGTATGTATTGAAACATGAAATGTTGTCATACCATAAAGTCTACGGTCATACTTATTTGATAATCTGTGTACTCAATAAATTGGAATTCCATACCTCTTGCTACACATCATGTTAATGTAATACGAGACATATTTAGACAGATAACTGAATTTTGAGTTACGGTTATTGTATCGTTGTTTCAAATGGAACTCTTTCATTTCACAATATATACATCAGTCTGGGCTATGTGTACGTCAGTCAGGGCTATGTGTACGTCAGTCAGGGCTATGTGTACATCAGTCAGGGCTATGTGTACGTCAGTCAGGACTATGTGTACGTCAGTCAGGGCTATGTGTACGTCAGTCAGGGCTATGTATACGTCAGTCAGGGCTATGTGTACGTCAGTCCGGGCTATGTGTACGTCAGTCCGGGCTATGTGTACGTCAGTCCGGGCTATGTGTACGTCAGTCCGGGCTATGTGTACGTCAGTCCGGGCTATGTGTACGTCAGTCCGGGCTATGTGTACGTCAGTCCGGGCTATGTATACGTCAGTCCGGGCTATGTGTAAGTCAGTCAGGGCTATGTGTAAGTCAGTCAGGGCTGTGTGTACGTCAGTCTGGGCTATGTGTACGTCAGTCAGGGCTATGTGTACGTCGGTCAGGGCTATGTGTACGTCGGTCAGGGCTGTGTGTACGTCAGTCAGGGCTGTGTGTACGTCAGTCAGGGCTATGTGTACGTCAGTCAGGGCTATGTGTACGTCAGTCAGGGCTTGTGTACGTCAGTCAGGGCTGTGTGTACGTCAGTCAGGGCTGTGTGTACGTCAGTCAGGGCTGTGTTTACGTCAGTCCGGGCTGTGTGTACGTCAGTCCGGGCTGTGTGTACGTCAGTCCGGGCTGTGTGTACGTCAGTCCGGGCTGTGTGTACGTCAGTCCGGGCTGTGTGTACGTCAGTCCGGGCTGTGTGTACGTCAGTCCGGGCTGTGTGTACGTCAGTCAGGGCTGTGTGTACGTCAGTCAGGGCTGTGTGTACGTCAGTCAGGGCTGTGTGTACGTCAGTCAGGGCTGTGTGTACGTCAGTCAGGGCTGTGTGTACGTGTACGTCAGTCCAGGCTATGTGTACGTCAGTCCGGGCTATGTGTACGTCAGTCAGGGCTATGTGTACGTCAGTCAGGGCTATGTGTACGTCAGTCAGGGCTGTGTGTACGTCAGTCCGGGCTATGTGTACGTCAGTCAGGGCTATGTGTACGTCAGTCAGGGCTGTGTGTACGTCGGTCCGGGCTATGTGTACGTCGGTCCGGGCTATGTGTACGTCGGTCAGGGCTATGTGTACGTCGTCAGGGCTATGTGTACGTCGGTCAGGGCTATGTATACGTCAGTCAGGGCTATGTGTACGTCAGTCAGGGCTATGTGTACGTCAGTCAGGGCTGTGTATACGTCAGTCAGGGCTGTGTGTACGTCGGTCAGGGCTATGTGTACGTCGGTCAGGGCTATGTGTACGTCGGTCAGGGCTATGTATACCTCAGTCAGGGCTATGTGTACGTCAGTCAGGGCTATGTGTACGTCAGTCAGGGCTATGTGTACGTCAGTCAGGGCTATGTGTACGTCAGTCAGGGCTATGTGTACATCAGTCCGGGCTATGTGTACGTCAGTCAGGGCTGTGTGTACGTCAGTCAGGGCTGTGTGTACGTCAGTCAGGGCTATGTGTACGTCAGTCAGGGCTATGTGTACGTCAGTCAGGGCTATGTGTACGTCAGTCAGGGCTATGTGTACGTCAGTCAGGGCTATGTGTACGTCAGTCAGGGCTATGTGTACGTCAGTCGGGGCTACATGTATGTATACGTCAGAATTGTGGGGAACAGTTCAGATTAAAATCTGTTTTCTCATTGGTCAGCAATGAATCATTTTTTATTTTGAATACAGTTACAGCAAGAACAAGACTTAGGTGTGAGTCTGAGTACCGGTAACAATCTAACTTTAAGAAAGTTGGTTGTATGGACTTACGACCCATTACTTAGGATGAAAGCATTGGCAGCATTAGTGGATTTCTCGAAAGGTAAGTTTATTGGTTAGTTTGTATGACTGTTTTATTTAATTAACTTGCTGACCAGAACGGAAGGTATAAAAGGTATATAAGTTTGTTTGATCATCTTATAAAAAGTTATTTACTTTACATTTGTCTAGGTAAAAAAGGTGGTGCATTGGCTACAACTATACATTCCTATACACTAAATGGTGACCCTTTTATTAAGACGTTGATTCGCTATATATTAAAAGTTGTATCCTATCCAATATGCAGTATAATATATAGGTGGATTTATGAAGGGGAATTGGAAGATATGTACCATGAGGTGAGCAGTGTATTTTCCTGTGTAATTATTGTCCTAATTCAGTAATGTTCAGAATGATATAACCTTGTCTAGTCACAGTGCTCAGCTGTTATCAGTTATACTATCTATACACTGACTAACTATGTCAAAATTTATTATCAAAGTATCTGTGAAAGGACCAACTTCACAATCAAAATATCAGTAATGTAGTCTAATGCTACTAATATAATATTTCAACTTCATTGATGTCTATAACCAAAACTATTCTATTCTATTCTACTATCATGATAATAATTAAATACAAAATTATATTTCCTGCGTACAACATGTGATTGGTTATAATAAACAAATACATCTCTTGTGTGCAACACACGATTTGTTTCTGATAATACGATCCAGACGTGACATCATTTGACAAATCAAAATTCATATGTGGAGTATTTGAAAAAGCAAAAAAAAAACAGGCTGACCTGAGCACATTATTGAACTAGCTACTATAACAATACCATTAGTGAAAAAAATCACTCAAATTATGCTGTTTTGTTCACATGTTGACTGATTGTACTTGAAATGATGTGTACACTGATTACCATTTGTATGTTTTCTCAGTTCTTTGTAGCAGCAGATCCCCAGGTTAAAAAGGATAGATTATGGCATGATAAGTACAGTCTTAGGAAGTCTATGTTACCCACCTTTATAACCCTGGAACAGGCAAGAAAGGTAGGAACTCTACTAAATGCATTAGAGATGACTTCTTTATCTACACAATGACGTATTCAGACCTGTGTGGTGAATGAGTCCCACATTCTGTGTGTCACCATAAAAGCAAAAATCAAAATAAACAGAAAGCAAAAACAATAAATTACACAATATTGACATGTGTTATAGTGAAACAATCAAACAAATCATTAGTGTTCTTAAATTCTGATTACCAAGCAATATAGAAATGTGTGTTATTGAACAAACTGTTTACTACAGTTATTTCTCTATTTAGTAAGTGTACTTATTAAATAAGTTGCAACATACATCATTCAGTTTGTAAACACAAGTAACCAGCTGTTAGCACCCAAAGGTAAAAAAAATCAGTTGTGAGCTGGGAAAGGGAGCAGTCTTAAAAACATTATCAGCATTGTAAAACGTAAGCATAATCCATTCCTTGCTATTGAGGTATATAGTTGTCTGAAACAACATACCTACACTTGTTATAATTATTATGAATGCATTCATGTATAGATCCTCCTCATTGGAAAGTCCATTAACTTTACCCGGCAAGTGTGTCAAGACAGAACACCAATCGGTGATCTATCATTTACCAAGACAGGTGACCTAACACCAGAACAAGGTATGTGTATATATAATTAACATACATAATATTTAGAATGCATAATTTTCCCCAACAAGTTTGAGTATCCTTTTTACTTCTATGTAGGTTTTAATAGAAAGATTGCATCACTTAAGGCAGTAGTGTGGATTTACATGTGACATACAAGATTACAAGATAACTGTAAATTACAATAATAAATGGCCCCTATGGCTATGACCTAACAGGTTTCCATCTAAGTATTTATCATACATGTACATTGTGTATCAGATGTTGTGGTTAAGTCACTGATCAAGGTTAGACTACACTAATATTGTTGCAAGTAGTAAGTTAGGTATCTGTAACATCGTTATGACAACCACATGTCAAAAAACTACAAACTCTCAGCAAATTTGGAGCCAGTAAAGTAGATGTTTTTATTTTTTTGTTCAATGTTTGAGAACTCAGTATATTGTAATATGTAACTGCTTATGTCTCTCTTTTGTTTCAGCTGAAATGTTATTTAATCAGGACATGGACAGTAGGTTTCAAAGCATTATTACTACAGCTTACAAAGACACCAGTAAACATCTACTTGATATATTGTTCACTAAGTATAAATTTCTTGAACATCTCAAGGTAAAAGATCATTTTCTCTGCATTAGGATGAACTATTTGCACTATTATTTTTTCCCTCCAAAATGTTGATAATTTGAACATAATTAATTATTGGCTGAATGATGGGATCAAAAGTTTTCAAAATAAATATGAAAAGAAATGATATGTATTGGTTTTTTGACTTCATGGGCTCCAACACATATCGTGTGTATTTCTGATCTCCTACTTTACTCTGTATTCAAATAATCTTTAGATATTTTCATTGTAGAAATATGTATTGAATTTTGTTATCATCACATATACTACATCTCATGGTGATATCATGTAAATGTATATTAATGTTGTATTGGAATATTTGAGATGTTAGATAATAGGTGTACTGTAATAAATGTAACAGTATTGGTAAGATATATTCACAATATATCTGCTTTGGCAATAACATCACCAATCAGGTTTGTAGATTCATATGTGATACGAGTTTTCAACATCTTAAAGTGTCATCAAATCACACATGGGTTTCTCTGGCCGACACTCAAAGACTATATTACAAAATTAATATTCTATAGGAAGCATTTCTTGATGCTGTATTGTATAGCCATTAAGTTCCTACCTTTTGATTTTATAAGATTAATATTTCACTCGTATAACGACCATTTCCATGTAAAATAAGAACATTGAATATTACATAATTCTAATGTTAGTTGTGCTTAGCATGCTCTCAAAGCTGAATTTCAACAGCAATGCATGACAGGATTTTTTGTAGTGAAGACAATAAATAACAATTATAATGCAATATGCCAGTTTTCAATCACTAAGACTCATGAACACCATAACTCTCAAATTCGATTTTTGGCCAAGTCACTCAAAATTAAAAGGACATTCAGCTACATTTTACAGGCAATGCAACTTTAAGCAAATGCACTAACTGGGTTCCAAAATTCAATTAACATGTTTAAAAGGGGAGTTCATTTTGGGGAAAGGCTCTTTAGATACATACAGAATTTATCTCTAATAATTTGCTTGTGTTCCTAATCTAGGCAATGAGAAGATACCTCTTGTTAGGCCAGGGTGATTTTATCAGACATTTGATGGACTTATTAGAGTAAGTATAATACTCAAATCTGTAACCATTATATTTGTAACTGTATTGTATACATTTTGAGTTTGATTTATAATAATCATTTTTCTCGTAATTTGATTTGCAGAGATGATTTATGCAAGTCAGCGGGACTGTTATATTTACATAACCTAAATGGTGTCTTAGAAACAGCTATTCGTGGGACCAATGCTCAATTTGACGATCCAGAGATTCTGAAAAGATTAGACGTTAGACTGCTAGAAGTGAGTATCACACATTGTGCACATATCTTTATTGCAATTAGAACACCCCTTGTACTAAAATGGGGGCTTCTCTCTGATATTGAGGGTTCAGTTAGTAGAATGGTAAAGAGTTCCTTTTGTACCCCCCATCCCTAACCCTACCCCTACCCTCCAGCACTCCCCATTTAATTGTACATGCCCCTCCTAAGGACATCTATAGTTATCTAGAGGGGGCATATATAAATGAATTGGGAAACTGGGAGTGAGTGTTAGAGTTAGGGTTAGGGATGCGGTGTAAAAAAGAAATTCTTGCCGTAGAATGTATGGTGTTAACACAGTCCCTGTCTAGGCCCTCTGAAAGTTGAAAAAGACTCATCCAGCTAAACTCATCATCAATTATATGCGTATGAGTGATACAGTAAACCATTTAGTAAATTTGTTTGCCACTTAGGTCTTCCTGTACATGTACACTACACAAAAGATTTGCATCAAAAAAACTTTTAAAAGACATCTTGTATACCAACTTTGTGTACTAATCTCACCCTCTATAACTTGTATATTGTGCATCCACTTTTCCCTGTAATGCTTTCTTGCATAATATGGACATATGTAGTTATAGATTGCGCAATGTATGTTTTCATATCTATAATGTACATGTATGCATCTGTTAGTCTGCATTTCTGAAAAGACCATAGACTAATTCAGTAATACCAGTACTCATAAAGAGGGCTTGACGTGCATAGTATATTGCGTTTCCTTATAGTAGTTGGTATTTCAATTTTGTAGGTATCACCAGGGGATTGTGGCTGGGATGTGTTCAGTTTGGACTATCATGTTGATGGGCCTATAGGTACTGTCTTCACACATGAATGTTTACTGATGTATCTTAGAGAATTTAATTTCCTGTGGAGAGCTAAACGTATGGAGTACATCCTTGCCAATATCTGGAGAGCACAGATGGACTATTCCAGAAAATTAGCCCCCATTAAGGGTAAGTTTATCATCATGCATGGTTTTGTGTAACAGAGATACGATGTGTGAACTGATGTGATGGTAGATCTTGAGGTAGATAATTTCATCCTTAATAAGTATTCACTCATGCTGCACATACAAGTAGTTCAAGGCAGGGTGGTAAGAATATAATATATAATTATTTTACTCCCTAAAACATACGGAATGAATTCTGTAGGAAGCCAACAGAAGGTTTTAATAAATCAGCTTGGACAGAAAGTTTGCTCATGATTTAGAATTAAATTTTTTAGACCTACATAAAGATTACCAGTAACTATTACTCGCCACTTGAAAAGGTACAGAGTACTTAACTTATGTACAGGTACATTCACCTGGTGACATGTGGTTAGGATCAAATACAACCCTGGATGTGTCAACAGATATTGGATTATCTGACTCTTGCACAAGGCATATAAAGTGGAAATAATATACACAACCTCAGATCTTTATACAAAAGTCATATAGGGTTAGTAGCCTTGTTTTATTAATTGATCATTATTTATTTGTTATTAGAACTGCGTTTAGTCTTGCATAAATGTCACATCGTCGCTGCAGAAATGGTTCATTTTATACACCAGATGCAGTATTACATCACATTTGAGGTAAGGTTTTATCTATCATTTGACATTGTAAATGCATTCATCTGCAACTTTACATCTTTAGAAAATCTAAGAAATTAATGTGCACTCGTACATGTACCAAATCTGCAACCAGTAGATTCATGTTCTCGGTATGTATTTAGCAGTTTTCATCTAAAATGCTCTAATATGGCCAGGAATAAAAGTATACCATCATTATGAGACACACAAATTTGTTGTATTCCAGTTCAAAAGGGACTGACTGACTGACTGTTACCTATTGCAGTGAGCTGGATCTTGGGCATGCGTTAATGGAAAACTTGATAGATAAATGGAACATTCTAGCCACATTATTTTGTTTTTACAGATCTAGTTAAAAATAAATTTGCCATTCTTTTTCAACAGTAATATTCTTGAGCTTTTTATCTGTGACATACCAGCACATTTCATAATGTTACGATCAATCATAATAAGGACTTTCAATTTGTTTGACTTCTATCAATTCACCAGGTATTAGAGTGTGCATGGGATGAGTTATGGAAGAAAGTTAGCAAAGCAGATGATTTAGATCACATCATAGCAGCTCATCAAGTATTTCTTGATACAATTATTAGTAGATCATTACTTGGGGACGAGTTTAAGGTAGGTTATCTCTGTTATTGATATGTGATGTGTTCTAACGCTGGACACTGGTAATTGAAGATGTAATCATAATAACTCATGTTTAAAGAATGTGAAAAATTGTCATGAAAATTTTAAGTTATTGCTACTGGTACTTTTTATTGAAGTAGAGTACACATTTTCCTGAGGTTCATTTTCATGTGAATAATTATAGAATTTGCCATTTTACCACAAAATTTTAACACATTAGGTATTCTTGAGAGCATACATGTACATCCTGGTATTTTCACTGCCTACAACCACAACTAGTAAAAACAACAAATGGTCTTTTGTCTAGCTGTTGATTCTTCTGAACAGTGAAACAAGATTAACCCTTCGTAAATTTGGTTGATCGGGATTGTCTCATAATTGAATTTGTGCGGTTTTCTTAACTTAAGCTGTTTTTTATCGACCTGTTCAACAGGCGATCTACAACAACTCACACAGAGCTCATAGAAATACATGGTACAGTGTTGCACGTTCTGTGACAGCCTCGCCCCTGGGACTTGCCAGATAAGTTCATATCTGGAACTTTTGGTACCAATTCGTCTAAGATAAGTTAAAGGTTTCTGTTGTTTCTTTTGTTTCAGTCGTTGTTAACCCAGTTAAGAACTATATTTGACTGTATAATCAAGTTTCAACACACACAGGAGAATTTATATCAGTTATCTATGGATGAGTTAGACAATCGACTTTTAGCAGAAAAACAAATCAGTCTGAGAACAGAACAAGTAAGTATAAAGTTGAACAAGGATTTTACAAAAATGTTTTTACAAGATGAGATCACATGTGTATTGAAGAAGTCATGAAATTTGCAACATGATCACAAGAGAAACCTACATTTCTCGAAATCGTAATAAAATTGGTGAATGAAACAAACACCCACTTCGTTCTGTGAAGCTATTATTTAGAACTACATTCTATTGAAGCATTCAAAATGGAATGATGAGAGTTTGCTTTTGCATGATCTTCATCACATGGTTAGGTACATGGTTAACATCTTTTATACCACTTTTGGTCACGTGCATCATTGTTCGCGCCAACGATTTATTCTTGCAAACGGTGAATTTATATGCAAATTGTAAAAAGCAACGCATTCGCAAATATGCAAAGTGTAAACGGTCACACTTTCATTCATATGCAAAGTGTAAATGCTACACTTTGTATCAAAAGTGTAGCGTTTACAATTAACATATCAATAGAAGTGTAACCGTTTACATTTGCATATCAATCAAAGCGTTACCGTTTACAATTTGCATTACAAATTAACAAAGTATATGCATTT